ATAATATCTCAAACATTTGTGGTCAAAGTTGTTTAAATCCCATTATATTTTCTTTTTTTTTTTTGTCAAAGTTGTTTAAATGCCATAATAGTTTTTTTTTAATTATTCAAGTTGTTTAAATGTCATTATACTTAATACAGAGGTGAAAAGAAATATTAAAAATATATATAAAATAAAATATTCTGCTTGAGCATTTCTCTGCTCCAGTGCTGTATATCTGAAGGGCCTTAAAAAATCAAACATATTTTGTTCTGTGCTGTTAAAATGGGCCTAGTTAAAATGCACAGTGAGGTAAACTGACTCACCAAAATTGCCAGAAATTCATGTGAAATCTTTAAGTTTAAACAGAAACTGTAATTGCATCCGCTTTCTACATCTAAATTCACAGTTGTGATTCTCCTCCCATGCTAACGTACATACTTTTTGGTTGTGTTTTTAGCAGACAATCACTTCAGATGTTTTTATTTTCTGTGCTCGAGAGTTCTGTTTTTCCACAAACGGGAAGTGAGTTTTGCTGAGGCAAACTGGTTTTCGAATTCAGTGGTTAGATAGTATAGCAGACTCGAGTGGACAGAGAGGGAATAATGAACGCTACAGCTTATTTTCAGGCAGATGAGGAGACCGAGCTGGGCTTGGTGGGGGCCTGTGTGATCCTGGGTGTGTGTTTCCTAGTGGGCACACCTGGGAACCTGCTGGTGGTGTGGACCATCATGAAGCATGTGAAACAGCGTTCACATACGGTGCTTCTCATCCTCCACCTGGCAGCTGCAGATCTTCTGGTGCTGATCACTCTGCCGCTCTGGATCTACTCGCTGGCCCGTTCCTGGGTGTTTGGAGAGGCAGCCTGCAAAGCCATGGTGTACATCATCAATGCCTGCATGTACAGCAGCGTCTTCATCATCACCACCATGAGTGTGGAGCGCTTCCTGGCCATCAGATACCCCTTTGCCTCAGTCGTCTGGAGGAGGAGACAAGCACTGAACAAGGTACTTCTAATGATATGGATGGCTTCATTTCTCCTCAGTATTCCCGTCATTGTAACTCACACTTTGGGAGAAGTTAATGGACAAAATCAATGTCTGTTCAGGGAGTTTGAGACTGACGCCCAAGAGGCTGTGTTGCTCATTTTAGAATCTCTTATAGGCTTTGTCATCCCTTTTTTCACTCTGTTGGTCTGTTACGGCTGCCTCTTCAGTCGCATAGCGCAGATGAACTTCAAGTCCAAGCACAAGTCGACGGTTCTCATCTGCAGTGTGGTGGTGATGTTCGCTCTCTGCTGGATTCCTCACCATACAGGGAACTTTCTTGCCCTCACCTCGCTCACTCTCAAGCATTCAAGCCCCGACATGGCGAAAAGTTTGGAGGACGCCTGCACCACAATGACCTTTATAGCAGGAGCCCTGACATTCATCAGTAGCTCAGTCAATCCAGTGCTTTACATGTTTGCCGCGCGTGCCTTCCGCAGCTCGCTCCGGGAAACTGGAATACAGAAGCTCTTCCAGCATTTGTCCAGTGCAGCATCAGGTGAAGGGAATAAAGAGTTATCATTTGTGTCCAAAAGACAGAGTTCACACAGCACCAACTCACAGTGCCTCACAGACTCAAAAGTGCGGGTAGATGTGGCTATGGAATCATGCATCAGTACTTCAGACTGAAGCTTTATAACCATTATAACTGTTATTTCTCAAAAAAGAGTGCTTGAAGTTTTTTATGTAATTTTGTATTTCAGAATTGTATTAAAATGTAAACATTTTTTAAGTAAAATATTTGCTTGTGCCTTGTTCTTTGTGTTCTGAGTATATTTTAATACTCACAGATGTTATAACTTAAATTGCAACTGCATATTCTATGATGAAACCACTTTTACATTTGTGATATGAATCAAATGCCTTTATAGCAAATATTTCTGTCTGTTTAGGATCAAATTCCCATGGTATCTTATGTAAGCAGACTGTCTTACATCTTCTGTGCATTATGATTTCAACATCTTCCTTTTCCTTCCTTCGACACTTTCCATGTGTGTGTTTGTGAATCTTGTAATGGTGTGAAAGAGGAAGTGGGCATTAAACGGAACAGATGTCCGTCTAGAAAAAGATTCCACTGAAATGTCATTCTTTTCTATAATGCTCCTTTCATATGAAAATTGAACAGCAGTTATTTTTAAAAACCTAAACATATACATTATTTTGCATAGGGCCACTGTCTAAAGCAGAAGAAAAGCTCACCAGGCCTTTTCTTCTTCTGTGAAATCTTTTTTGGCAACTTTCGATGATATACCTTTATTAACTGAATTTAAAAAATAAACACATATGAATTTATCGAATTTTTGAAATGCTAAATTTGTACCTAGAGTAAAGCCTGGAATACACTACACAACATTTGTGCAAATTTTTGCCCTGATTTGCACTCTGGGCGAGTCAGCTCTAGTAGGCCAAAGTCAGAGCAGTCTGGTTGCGGAGTTGACCAATTTCACAATTTCACAGTATAGGTTGGGCACAGACTCTGATTTTTTTTTTTTTAGCTTGTGATTACATCCATTGATATTTTGAGCTGATTTTAGAACACATTGTTTTCATTTGTCATGTGTCTCTTAGCAACAAGGCGCATGTTTCTGTGTGAGCTAATGCCCAGCTTTTCTTTGTAACCATTTACAGAGGTGACAAGTGTATGATGAATCTGTTCAGATTTTAAGTCGTGTAGTATATTCCAGCCCTTTAAAAGTGGTGAGATGACATTTCTCCTGTCATAACCTGTGGTTATATTTCTATCTCTCTTGTCAACACAAATTTCATGACTGAAAGAATCAGCTGACCATTGCTCAAGATGAAACCAGAGAGAGAAGGAGAGAGATGCTTGACTTCCTAAGTCTGGAAGAGGCCATAGAATTGTCACCTAAGTTTGGCACGCAATGGAATAGTGAGTGAACTGCAGACGAGCAGTCTCTGTCTGGCTTTTTGTCCCATTTAATTACTGACGCACAAGCACACAAGAGCACTGAATCATGGAAACAAAACTCAGACCTCAGCACAGTTGACTCTATAGGGTATATGTAGGAGCCAAGGATAGGTTTGGGCTCCTAAATTATTTTAAGATTATTAAGTTAATTTCATTTCTTTTTTACATTGCCATTGCTATGTCATGGTGTCATGTATTTTTTTCTTTTCCCCAATTTGACCTTAAAACCTAAACCTGTTACCTATAATTGTGTTTTTCCTTTAAAGGGGTCATATGATGCGATTTCAATTTTTCTTTTCTCTTTGGAGTGTTACAAGCTCTTGGTGCATAAAGAAGATCTTTGCAAATTGAAGTTGCAAACACTAAAGTCTCAAATCCAAAGAGATATTCTTTATAAAAGTTAAGAGTCAACCACGTCTACCTAAAACGGCTCATTCTAACATGCCTCCACATATCTACGTCACTATGTGGGAAGATTGGCATAACGCTGCCCAAATGTTCACGCAAAGAAAGAAGGCGTAACTTTTATCCTCGCTGTAGTATTGTTGTTGTTGCCGTCATGTCGTGAAGATGCTGTGTTTCGTTGTGAAAGCGAAACTACTT